CTATAGGATTCCTTTAGGTTCCTATAGGATTCCTATAGGATTCCTATAAGACATTTTCGTAAGGGGTGGCTTTAACAGTTTTTCAAATTTAAACATTCGAACTGGTGCTCGTTTTTTCTCATCATGTGGGACACGTGATCCGCTTGGCTTAGGCAGCCTCGCACAGGTGAGGCAGTCTCACTCAGGTGTGTCTTGAAGCATTAATTGTTATCTGGATATTATTGTTTCTATTTTAAAAAATGAGTGGCGGGGAAAGAAGAGGGGGATGGGACACCTTCTATTTTCCCACAGAATCGACAGCAATTTTTCCTCGGCAACAAAAGAAGTCCACTGACCAACGATGGGAGACGATTTCATCCTTCTCTTAGGACAATTTTCCTTATAATACTTCATTTCAGGCAACCGCCACAATTTCCCCACCCTCGACCCCCACGGGGTCTAGCAATCGAGTAATCGCCAGCACATAAGCACGTGCAAGGTCTAACTCCTGCTTAATTGAATGCACTCGATGGGTGACCCCCATCAGCCTTCTTCCCAACTCCACGGACCATCCACCGATTACATTTTGATTGTGGCAGTAACCTTTGTGCTCAAAGCATTATATCCTTGACGATGCAGCAACGTGATGCGGATACTCTCAGAATCGTGTGAAATCATGTCCTAAAAGCAAGACAAAAGGAATCGGAGGCGTGATATCACCTGCGAAGGCAGAAAGCTGTAGGATGGCATGGTATGCCGTGCCATGCCATGGCTGAGAAACTATTCACACTGTCCTTAAATTTCCTATCGCGCAGTTAACACAAAATTCCTCGCATTCACGCCGATGAAGGCAATGACCTTGCGATGCTGCTATGATGGACCTAATTGATTATGTCACTGTGAGAATGAGCCATGAACCCTCAGACCGGTATCGTCTCACTCGTAGACATTTAGCATATGCAGTTATTATTTATATTATGTGTATTCGCATTCTTGAATGCAATTTCCTCTTATCTGAATCTAAGGTCGTTTCGCTTCGTGTCGAGGAAGGCGACAGATGAATACAGAAGCATACATAAAATTCAAAATATTCCCTCTGCAGTATAGCAACGAAACAGCAACGAGTCTCTTCGGCAATCACCATGCCCACGATTTGATATCTCAGACTATTTTCAGGCGAGAGAAACCGGCGATGCCGAGCGTCCCGGGAACATGCGCAGCCTGCGATGCGGATGGGTCATGGCGGCACCGAGGCGCAGCGGGACGAGCGCCCGTTCAGGCGTCGTTAACCCTTTCGCCGCCAGAGCGAAAATGTCTCCGGTGAGTCAATGGTAATTTAACGGCAACCGATGTTGAACGTCTGTCGAAATTCCCTATGAAGTTCCCTGTCGAAGTTCCCTGCTGGGAACAGGAAGGCAACGGTGAACCATCGTTTATTCGCAGAGGTTGCAAAAGGAGTTGACACCTTGGGTTACTCATCGTCATCTCCAGTCATTTTGATTTGAAAGCTCTGGTTCATGCCAGTTACGAAGCGTAACTGGCATGAACCGTTGACGAGTTACGAAGCGTAACTGGCGTCAACTTCCGCATGCGTTAATTACGAGTACTATTCCTGCCGAACCGGAAGTTGTGCTGCAATATCGGACAACTTGAACTGAGTGAAGATTACTCTTTGTCACTGCTGACGTCAAACATTAATGAGAACGGCACTGCCCCTTAATATTTACGCATTACTGCAATAATTACTCGCCTGATAAATGGCTCTCCCGGATTAAGGGATGCCTTCGGACGCATTTCGGGACGGATCGGATAATCGATTCGGTGCCTAAATCGTCCAAGGTCAATGATCTCAGGAGCAACTGATCTTAAGGGATTCACAGCGATAGGCAACTAAAAACTTTCATCGATTGAGGTTTTAATGAGGATTAATGCATTATCTTTATTATTGCAAAATTGTTTTTCAACCACCGAGGACTTATTTTATTATTCAGCAATTGCAAGGTAATTAATTGAACCTTTGTTCCGCTTCATTTGCGCTCTTGCACATATGAACTACTTTTATTGACTACTTACTTGCTGAAGGACGGCATCAATAATGTGAATTCGTGAATTCAGCACGAATTCGTTTTCACCGGACACAGCAGATTGAAAGGGAATTCCCTTGGAAGCTTCAGATGCATCTCACAAAATTATGCAAATTATGCATCTCACTAAATTATGCAACTCGGACAGCCTGGATTTTTCTGAATCCGTCTGAATTCATGCCTCTGTTTCACTAATTAGAATTTGAAACTATCCTCCAAATGTGCTCACGGTTTTACTGTCGATATTACGATCAGCTGTTCCGATTTACTTTTCTTAATTACCCAGATATGTTTCAAGAGAAATAAGGCAGAGTTGCTGTTCATTCGCACGTGGAGGAGAGAGAACGTTCCGTTCTCGTCGAAAATTTTCCTTCCTCTCTCTCTTCCGTTCTTGCCGACAGAGTGTTTCCTTTGCTTGATGAGGACCTGATCAATAAGTTCCTGTCATGTCATGTCATTTGGAGCTAGTGGGACCCTTTCAGGCTGTCACATCTCATTTCTGGAAGCATCGGCGGATTTGGCGAGCGCTTTATCCACTGCTTTGCTTCTCCAAAGCATTTATAATAAAAATACATTTAAATATTTTTAAAATGTTGTTACGTCTCATGCTCCCGAGAGCTTATCTATTGTGCAAAGAAGACTGTCTCAACTGAAGTTGTTGAAAAAGAGCGCCTTAAAATTGTTGGGGCCATAAAATGATAAACAATGAAATGGTCCCGACAGAGAAAAAAATTGCAATCCAAGTTGATAGAAGAAAATGTTTAACGTTTCAGTTTCCTTTTATTTCGAGGGCAATACAGTGTACTCGTGTAAAAAAAAAAAAAAAACTCCCAATCAACACTGGTGACTTCACGCGGAAATGCCAAACAAACAAGAAATTTCCTTGCAAAAAATCGGCGAGATTCAGAGAAGAAGGGTTTTCCAGCAGGCGAGGAGGAGGAGCGCGAGCGACAGGCGGGCGGGGGAGAGCGTGAAGGCCGCCGTGTTGCACAGGTCCCACTGGCAATAGCAGGTCTTTTCCCTCAGGGAGGTCGCGACGATCCCGTTGGAGCAGCCCGCCTTGTGGAGAGTGCCTGGGGGGAGAAGGCGGCTGGATCAACGGTGCGGTTTGTGGGCAAGGGATTTTTTTTTGCAGTCGTGGGTCTCATTGGGATCGCTGGAAGAACTCTGGGGAATCGATCGAGAAATATCTAGAAATGCTTAATATATAAATATTGAGCATTTCTCGATGGACCATGTGAAACAAGTATGAGAGTAATATTTGTAGCTTCATAAGACCGACTGTAGTAACGCTGAATTCTCGCGTTTCTTTTCATATTAAAAGTAAAATGCTTTTCGCACGCAATCTCTGACTCAAAGGAAAATCGCCGATTCTGTTAGGTTCCGCAAAATCGAATGAAAACGTTTAATAAAACGTTTTTCGAGAAAGTAACGTGCGGAGGAGAGAGGACAGTCTGTGAAATGCCCAAATCCCCACTCTTTTTTGGTGGATTCCAACCACTCAAGTACTGATGACGTCATCAAGGGTTGGTTGTCCTCGATGGGCATGGACGATGGCAACCGGACAATTCTGGTACATCTGGTACATCTGGTACGATCATGGTACGATCACGGACCTCCGCATTTTCCCGACTTTCCCTCCGCAAACGATATTCCTAGCAGTGATGAGGTCAACCCTTGGAGCGATGCTTAAAAAAAAAAAGTTTTTTTATTTTCTGAAATGTGAGGGATTAAAAAAATGTTTCATTTTGTAGTAAAATATTTTATCTAAACCGTTCGCAGCGGAACAGCCACATATCGTTAGTTATGAAAGTCATGAAGGTCATGAAGGTCATGAAGGTCAGGAAGGTCATGAATGGTCTGAAACGAAATATAATTATATATTTATCGCGTACCGTTCTGCCAGGTGGATGAACAATAGGATTCCGAATCTTTTGTGCAATTCTTTCGAACCCGAAGGGACTTCATTTTGCATTCTTGGATGCTGCTGCAATGAAAGCACTTCAAGGCGGTGCCCCACCCTTGCGAGACGAAAAAGAGAGAAGAAGAGTGAGGAATCCGAAGAGAGGAAGAGTTTGTGCTGATTTTTGGCAAGTTTGGGCGAATTTCGACTTACCGACGAGGGCGAGAAGGCCGAGAATGGCGGGGAATTTCATTTCGCGAAATCTGCAAAGATCGATTGCGCGGAATGCATGTGTGAAGTCGAGGGAAATTTTCCTGCTCAAAGCAGGAAATTTCTGAGTTCGTGTAAATTCCGGCATTTCACATTATGCAATCATTTAATACAGTTCCAACTGGGGGTCTCTTGATCATCAGTTTTCGTCAAAAGAGAGTGGCCGTAAATGCTGTTTCTTCCGTTTCTATTGCATTTACTTAATGCAATTTTATTGCATTTACGTAACGTCATTTTATTGCGTTTACGTAACGCAATTTTATTGCGTTTACGTAATGCAATTTTATTGCGTTTACGTAACGCAATTTTATTGCGTTTACGTAACGCAATTTTATTGCGTTTACGTAACGCAATTTTATTGCGTTTACGTAATGCAATTTTATTGCGTTTACGTAATGCAATTCCATAACATTTTACGGCCAAGCTCGAAATTTTACACCGCGGCAATACTCGATCCTCCCTTCGGGAATGCGGATCAAAGGACCCAAGTAACACAGTATGTTGATGAAACGTTTCCGAAATGTTGACTATGTT